ATCTATCCTGTTGATTTTATATCTTCTTTTATTTGCCACTCAAAAATCTTTTAAGAATCTTTTAAGCTAATAAAAAATGAAACTTTATCAGCAAGACCAGTGAATATTCCAGAGTGCATCTTTTCAATTCAGGAGTAGAACAAAAATAATTTGTTATATATGTCATATATCTATTCTGGGTGTAACATTTACTACTGCCAATTCTGTTCGTCCAGATTTTCAAGGCAGTTCTTTAGTAAAAGAGTTTTTAATGCAATTTTTATTGTAAAATAAATTTAAAAGCATTTCTATGGTAAAATTATTTTCAATACATTTCTATAGTAAAATCATTTTCAAACTATAGTAAAATCATTTTGCATTACTATAGTAAAGTCATTTTCACTACATTCTATCGTAAAATCATTTTCAAAACTAGTAAAATCATTTTCAATACATTTGTATAGTAAAATCATTTTCAATACATTCCTATAGTAAAATCATTTTCAATACATTCCTATAGTAAAATCATTTTCAAAACTATAGTAAAATCATTTTCAATACATTTCTATAGCAAAATCATTTTCACATCTATAGTAAAATCATTTTGCATTACTATAGTAAAATCATTTTCACTACATTCTATAGTAAAATCATTTTCAAAACTAGTAAAATCATTTTCAATACATTTGTATAGTAAAATCATTTTCAATACATTCCTATAGTAAAATCATTTTCAAACCTATAGTAAAATTATTTTCAATACATTTCTATAGTAAAATCATTTTCAATACATTTCTATACAAAAATCATTTTTAGTACATATCGTGAGTAAATGCTGATCTATTATAGTTATGATAACTTTCTTGCTAGTTTGTATACAAACTTTAGTAAAAATCATTTTCAATGCATATGTATAGCAAATATTGATTTATTATCAGTATAATTGACATATTATCTCATTCCTGACCATTGAAAAACCCTTTCTTGCTGATTTTCAATGCATGTCCATAGTTAAATAATGTCAGTACATTCCCGAAAAATCTGATCTATGATAGGTATGATCATGATATTCTCTCAGTAGTGCTTGCATTGATTCCTGATCACTGACAATTCCTTTCTTCCCAATTTTAAATACACTTCTATAATAATGAAGTCCTTGAGTTTAAATATAATTGCTCTATTCCTTCAGTAATGTTTGCTTTAAATGCTGGCCAATGTCAATTCCTGTCTTCCTGGTTTTAAATAAACAAATATATAGATTGAAAGCCAAAACCTGCCCAAACAAATTTTAGGCAAAATGTTGCAAAATCTGGCATTTAATCATCATTTTGTTTTCTCTACCCTAAAAATATTTAGTTTGTTAATGGGGAAAATGTCTAATATGAAATAGGGAAATGTTGACGTAAAAACTTACCTATATATTCTGAATTCAAATGTACTTTGTGCTAAAATTCAACTTATATTGATTTGTGTAATTTCTTATTCATATATAGTTTTTTTAAAAAAAAAAAATAACAATAGTATTTTAAATAACTGGTTTTCCCCTGACCTAAATGTGTGGCCAGAAACATGAATAGAAAAGATATTCAAACTTATATCAAAATACTAGGTCAGAAAACTTTTATTTTTTAATAATTTCACCCCCAAGCAAAGCTATAAAGCAACTAAGATGCAAGGAGTTACTGAGTGTGAGAGAATGTGAGAACAAAAATACACTATTAAAGAAGATGAATTATGAAAACTGAAGATAACTACTAACATCTCATTTAAATTTTTGAAGATCAAAGTTGACTGGGAAGCAATAAGCCGGAAGCATAGAAGAAAGTTCATCAGAACAATTACCATGAAAGTCTTTATAGAAATGGCACCAGGGAGCTACGTTACAGTGGTGGGAAAGTGACTGAAGCTGAGATGCCAGGTCAGGACAAATAACATTGCAGATTCTTCTTTGGATTTTATCAAGAATCTCTAAATGTATAAAATTGTATTAAAATTAAATTTAATATGAATATTAATATTAAATCTTAGAATTCCTTGGTTAATCATGTACAGCCAAAGCAATGAAGAAAGTTTTGAGATGTATAATAAAAGAAGAAGATCTGGAAAATTTGGTACTCACAGGATATAATGAAGGCAAGAGGAACAGAAGAAAGCAGTGAGTAACCAACCAAACAAAATTGTGCAAATAAATGGAAGAACAGGGATTGGGAGGGATACTAAAAAGATAAACATTGCTCAGAGCTACAAAGGAAATTGTAAAGCACCATGATCACTCACATCCTAAAAGAACAGGGCTAATAGAAGAAAAATATCCATGGATTTCATGATCCACATATAATCAGGTCCTATTATGGATAGGTCATTTTCACAATATATTTGCTGTCTTACCATGCATAAATAATTGGGCAAATATGGACTTTCGTGTCTGAAAAAAAAGAGTGTCAAAACAATTGTTTTTCTCATGACACCACTATTATTTTAACTATGCTCAACTCTTTGGCAATGTTTATTGTTTTAACCTTTAACACAATGCATTATTCAGTACTTTCCTTTCTACTGCATTGTTTTTCAAAGCTCCTCTAGTGCAATACTTAATTTCAGTCATGGTCATTTTCTGTTGCCATAGCTGGATATGACAACACTACTGCAAAATTCAAAGATGTTATTATTCATTCATCTGAGACACTTACAGTGGCAGATAAAAACCTCAGAATGTTAAAGGTGAAAAAGTGATGATTAGAATTGTGATAAAACCTGAACATATAACAAAAGTGAATTTATATATTTTTTTGTTCTTGAGAATTTACAACAAAAATATTAAACACTATTTATTTATTAGATTGTTTATTTACAAGAATAATTTTATATTTAAAATATTCTAAAAATTCAGTTAAAACTAATACAGTTAAAACTAATGAAATACAATATTTATTATTTACCAATTTATAAAGGAATAAATATGAAAACAATTTTTTATTTATATTGTCGAAGAGTGAAGGTACTTAAAATAAAAGCGATGTCATGGGAAAAACATTCCTTTTGACACTCCACAAAGGTACATGTTTGCCTAATTGTTACAGTGAATAAAAGTTTTGTGATATTTGTTTCATCTGTCAGGTGCTGTTATATTCCATGCTAATATATACTTGAAAAACAAGGTGGATAAAATAAGTAAAGGTTTATTGTAAAAAATCAGTACAATAAGAATAAAGGTAACAGTTATACACAAGGTTGTCTCAAGTCAATCCAGTAGTGAGTGCTACTATTGGAAGGTCGGTAGTTCTCGTGTAAGTCTGAGTTGTACTCAACAGATTGCAGCTAGTAATATTTACCAACCTCGCCATGGGGTAGGATGTGGCATAAGGCTGAATTTAATGTGGGACAATCCAGGCCTATAGGCTCAGCCAGAAATTTCCCATAAAACCCACATAAAGGTCTGTCTACCTACCCAGACGAGCATACACCTCATCCAGGTTTCTCTCTGCCCAAAGGCAGAGAGTTCGACAACAGCTAAGAGCTGAGTAACAGTTCCCAGCTAGTCTCTTTAGTTGACTTACAGATACTTATAGGTAGTTATTACCTATAGTGTAGTCACTCATGGGGGTGACAGGTTATTCCATCACATCAGGTGCTGTGTCTCTTCTGGATGTGGGTGATCACGGCTCACTACAACTTTTTATCCTTTGAAGTTATTAGTAATATTTGTCTTTTTACTATCCCTCCTACTCCTTATTCTACCATCCATTTACACAAGCTTGTTAAGGTAAATCAGTTGATGTTTCCCTTTTTCCCTCTTGCCCTTAGTATATCCTTTGAGTGTCAAATTCTTCAAGCATTCTTTCCTCATTATGTGTCCTCAAAATTTCAACTGCCTTTATCTGATTCTAAATACAGGGTTTATTTACTATTTATTCTTTCAATTTCTTATTTTTCACTTCAATTAGAGTAAACAGGTTTTCCTATCATCTTTCTCACATTTCTCTCCGGTCTTTTGAACAGGAGTAGAGGGTTATCCCTTGTTTCCTGTTTGTGATTGGGTTTCCAGTTCCTTTTAAAGTCTTCTCATTCTCTTTTCCCTTCCGGTAACCCCTTAGTGATATTATATTTAAGGTGAATTGATTAAAACAAACAAACAAAACAATCCAATACATTAGATAACAACTTAAAAATTAAAGGGAAGTAATCAGGGCATAAAGGGAAGTAAGCAATATTGACATTTTTTTTTTTTAAATATGTTTTTGAAAATTTAACAAATCTAAATTTTATAAATTTCAACTGAAAGTAGTAATGGCTGCTTGGTCAATAAATGCAAAATGCTTGTTAGTGCCACTAATGATATTACCATTATCCAACTAAATGATAAATATGAAATAAATGACTACAAAAATATTTACACTTACTATTTGTTTTAGTAATTAGAATTTTACAAATACTATTTTAGGGTAAATTTAAATCACTCAAACAATGAAACAGCTACATAGCAAAGGGGAGCAAAGAAAAGAGATTTGCTCCAGCCAATGTTGGGTATCTTTGCTAGTAATCTATAAATTTTATTTTGCTTTCAAGCTCTGAATGAATAGGTGATGAATCAAGTTTTATACTTTGAAATTTTAATAAACATTGATAATTATCGTATTTGTTGTTAAAATATTGTATGAGCTTTTCTGTCTAGTTGGATGCTATTTTGGAGATGGATGCTATAAACTTTTTTTTTCTGATTTTCTTTCTTTCTTATGGTTTCTTTTCTTCTTTTTTTCCTCCATTTCTTACTTTCTTTTTTCTATACCTCCCCCCGTTGATGTTCCTTTTCTTTCTGCTTTTCTTTTCTTTTTCTATCAAATTTTTAACTAATTTTCTCTTTTTTTAACTTTTCTTTCTTTCTTTCTTTCTTTCTTTCTTTCTTTCTAACATTTTCCTAAACTTTTTTGTTCTTTATACTTTCTTTATTATGTACATTTTTCGTTCTTTCTCAGTATTTCTTTCTAATCTTTTCTTTTTTGTACTTTCTTCTATCTTTTTAGCATTTTTTCTTTTTTGTACTTCTTTTTTTTCTCTTTCTTTCTTTGTGTTTTTTCTTTCTTTGTGTGTTTTTTCTCTTTAATCATTTTTTTCTGTTTTCCTTTATTGTGTTTTGTCTTTCTTGTGTCATTTTTCTTTCTTTGTACTTCTTTATTTTTTTTAACTTTATTTCTTATTATTTGAATTTATTTTACTTCTTTACACTGATTTCTTTCTTTCTTTTACTTTATTTTTCCTATATATTACTTTGTTCTTTCTTTTTTTCTTTCTTTTCATCTATTTCTTTTTTCTTTATTTCTTTCTTTCTAGATTTTAATAATTTCTTTTTTCTTTATTTTTTCCTTCGAGTTTTCTAGTTTATTTCCTTTTCTTCTTTTGAGTGTAGAAAGTTTACACTTAACTTCTTTTCATATTTTCCATCAATTACACTTAAGTTGAGTTTTTCTTTTGTTTTTTTCTTTTTCACTCAATCCTTCTTTTATTAGCTCTTTCTTTCTTCAGAATTCCTTCTTTTCATTTATTCCTTCATTTTCTCTTTTCTCTTTTTTTTCTTCTTTTCCTTACCAGTTTTCTTCATGGCTGACTCACCTAAAACTGTAAAGATGGTTTTTATGTGCTCATGGGGATATGCCTCTATGTCATCTAATATTTATCAGCATTTCAAAAACACTAACAATAAAAGAAAAACAAGATGGTGATGATGTTAATAAACAAAGATCAAAATATCATCTCAGAGCAACTAAAAAGAAAAAGAAAAAAAAGGGGTATTGAAAAATTACACTCCTTTTGTCAAAGTATTGTGTCTTATATGCTTAACTTGATTTTCTTAGGTTTTAATGTCTGTTTCTCTATTTCGTTTATGATTATGATTAATGTCTAAAATCTACCACATTGTAAAAAAAAAAAAGCTGCTTTATAATGTTTTAAGGCATTCTTTGGATTTTCTGTACTAGGGAAATTGTGACTCATTTGCTATGGAAATATACACAAAATGATTTACTTTTTAAAAAGTGGACTGAAAGTAATTATCTGTAGAAATATATTGTCAGTGACTGGCCAAAAGTCGGTATAATATTGCAATGACTTACTATAAAAAGTCAAAGAAAATGTGTTACTAAAGAAAAACTTTTATATCCTCAGTTCAAATTAATGACTCTAGAATTGAAATAATAAAAGTAATATATGTATATCATTAAAAAATGTAATAAAATACATACTATAATGTAAATATCATAATGTAGAGGATCTTAACCAGGGGATAATTTCAAGGTTTCAAGAGTGGGTAGGGAAAAATCTTGACTCTTGTTTTTTTTTTTATTTACAGAATTTTGTTTATAGAATTACAATATCCTGGCATTCTATTGAACTTCTTGTTCATTTATTTAATAACTAGCAGTAGAGCCCAGCGTTGCCCGGGGATGTAACAGTAAGAGATAGATCAAGTATCAACCATCATAAAGACTGAAAAATAAAATTGACAATGATTATTGTTCAGGTTGATGGACACGCATGTCTTAATTAGTTTTTTGTTTTGTTTTTTTTTTACGAATTGGTCAAACCCAAACTGAAACCAAAACATTGTTTTCAATCGTTATGAGTCTACCGATTGAATAGAATTTTATTATAAACAATTGTCTTATAAATGGAAATTTTAAAGCATTCTGAATGTAAAAATAAAGAAAAAAGTGTGGAAGACAATAAGAAACACTACCTGCCAAAAAAAGTGAAGTTTTGTTGAAATCGGTTGAAAAATGTAGGAAATCCGATCCCATATATAAATGAACACACACACACACACACACACACACACAAACACACACACACATAAACAATCTGGGTTTTATAATAAGTATAACTCGATATGAGTTGTCCCCCTTTTCATTCTCGCAATGCCTCTTAATCGTGTTTTCAAATTGATTTCGTGCAAAAACAATTGTGTTTTTCCAATTTTGGGCACTGTCAAAACCACCGCAAGGTAATTTTACACAGTCCTGTGAAGTTTTGTTGAAATAGGTTGAAAAATGTAGGAAATCCGATCCAATATATAAACTTACACACACACACACACACACACAATCTGCGTTTTATAATAAGTAAGATTAGTTACAAATTAAAACAAATTATTGTATATGTATTAATGTTTAAAAATTCATCAACATTTTCTATTGCTATTAAATTTGGAAAACTCCTCTATAAAAATACTCCATAAATGCATATGTATTAATATGGAAAAAAATAAAAATTTTCAATAATATATGCATAATTATTTGGAATGCACCTTTTGAGTTGGACAATCTTGGAAAGTGGGAAATGACATTCTGACTTATGGTGAAAAGGGTGCATTGGACAAAAAAGGTTTAGAACTACTGTCATAATGTATAATGCAAAATATAATAATATAAACTAATATAATGCATATAATAAATACATATAAAATATTAGAAAAATTAATGCCAAAGTGGGAAAAACATTTGTGCAATGTGTTTCATCCATTAGGACTTGATTAGTCTAAAGTAACGTGTTGATACGCACAAAGAAGAAGGGACATTGAAATTTTAAACTTTTAAATTAAAATGATTTTAGATGTGTTTAAGTATATAATCTAGACAATTTCATTTGCTCTCTTTTTGTTTTTCTTTATATTTTTATCAATTTTGTATTGCACATTGTGATAATAGAAGATCTACCAAGAAAGATGGAATGACATAAGAACTTGGACACAAATTTACTGAGAATGATCTAGCAATTGGTAATAAAAGTTTAATCAACTTATCTCTCAAACAACTTTGAACTTAATTATCATAGTGTAACCAGGGCTGGTGAAAAGATTACATATTAAAGGAATAAAAGAAAGAAAAGATGTAAAAAGAAAATATCTCTCAAAGTTAAAAAAATGACAGCTTTTTTTAGCATTTGAAGAGATATTTTTTCAGTTATTATAAAGTTGGCCAGGGCTGGTTCACAGGCCACATGTCCACCCCCAAATCTATGGTACAGGGACCCCAACTCTACTAAATCTCAATTTTCATAAGGTAGTATTCATATAAAATAAATTTTTATTTTAACCTAATTATATACAATAATGGATTATATGCAATATAGGTGAACAATTCAACTATAAATACTGAAAATAAATACAATGTATCTAAATACAAATTAGAGGCATGTCATAATAGATCATGCCATCTTAAATGAATTGATAATGTTTTGCTGCAAATTTTAACATCAACTTGAGATTTTTCTTGTTAAGAAGTTGAATAATTTTAAGATATTCAACATTATGGATAAAAAAAATAGTGAATTTTATATTGTGTTTTTTTAAGACTTAGTATGACCAATTCATGGTCATTGATTTGGACAACAAAACAAAAAAGATTCCAGAATGACATCAAAACCCGTGAAAATTTTTCACCTTCTAATAGTCAGTTCAGCTTAGTTTAATTTATAACACATATAAATGTAGGTAGAAAAAAGCAAATATTGATAAGATTGCAAGAGTAACAAAGCACTGCCTGGGTTCCCCAATCAAGCCCTCCACACCAGTTGGCAGGTTTGGGGGTAGTATGTGCTAGCCCTGAGTGTAACTATTTAAACTCTGATATTATTTAAATGAGAAAGAAATTAAACTGTTAAATCCAAACAACATTCTTGCAAAATCTTTAGTATTTGTTTGGAGATAGGTTCTTATCCCCCAGTATTGGCTTTCATTACCAACACACAACCATCAGAGTTCCTGCATAATATCCTATCTTATTAGTACCAACACCTCTATACCAAACTTAAAGCTAATATAACATCTGGAAACAAACAGATTATAATATCTTGGACGATGTGCATATCTATCCATAAATGCTCACATTCCTGGCATTCAGCCAATTAGATTGTCAAGTTTGGGTGGTCCTGCATGTTACGGCAGAGTTTATTTTCCATTTTCAGTTTCCTTTCACATCTTGCAAAAAATGCCTGGTTTCTTCCTCTTATTTCTGTGGAAGGTGATGCCAAATGGTCGGGCTAGTCTTCATAGCCAGGAAGCAAGTTTTAGACATTCTTTCATGTCATCTTCATTTGCCATGTTACAAATTGCCTAAATAAACTTGTTAGGCATAAAACAATGTACACTAAATATTTGCTTTAATCATTTCTGACCTGCAATTATTGTAGAAGTGGAAGCCTTTTTAAAATAAAATAATTATTTATTATTTTTGGGGGGAAACTCTTAAAGGCAATATATATATATATATATATATATATATATATGTGTGAAAAGTGTGTGTATATAAATATATATATATATATATATATATAATTATTTATATATTATATGCACGGTACTTATTAGAAAGCGCTCAATATCAGAGATAGAGCTAACTCACATCAATCCAACCAAATATATATATATATATTAAAAAGAAGATAAACTACAAACATTTTTGGTTGAAATGTGGATTTTCTATTTTAAAATATATATTATACTCTATTTTCCATAATTCTGCTACACGTATTTCTGGTTTTGTGACTTTCTTCAAGCAAAGAGTAGACATTTCCACATATTATAAAAATGAATTTTTTGTGTGATAATGATTCAAATGTCATGTACGCCATCCTTGGTTACACTTCAAGGACAAACTTAAATACAATTTAAATGCTGCAAACATCCCTATAGAGGAGTTTGAATTTATTGCTGAAAACCAAGCAAACTGGAGAAACACCTGTCACCGAGGTATTACTAGCTTTGAAATGAATCATCTCAACCATCTGAAAGAATTAACACTAAATCTTGGGCTAATACAACAGCCCATATGATGGTCAACCATTCAGCATCTCCCTCGTGTGGACTTGTTTGCAAATCCTGTGCTAGATTGTTGTCTCATATGAAACAGAAACATAAAAACTGAACTGAAAGACACTCTTATGTTGAAAACAATGGGATAGCCCATCATAAATATCATTACTGCAATACAATTTTCAGTAATGCCATTGCTTGATTTACCCTTAAATATTGGCAGCATGGATGTGGCTTTTTAGTCCTGCTTGGGTTTTACTTCCTCTTGCACAGATGTGGCAATGTTGAGCATATGCTGCACTAGTTTTTATAATTATATTTTGATGAACTTTATAGCATCATTATTCAGTCGTTAAAATATTTTCAACCTTTAGGCCTGTCACAGCTTGGTGTTGAACTCAGTGTCTACTTTACATTTCATAATCACATATGCTCTCTCTGATATTGAGCACTTAAATATTGTCTAAAGTGATACAACCATGGGCAAAAGGTCCAAAATCAGAGAGGGCCACAATGATATGCCATGTCTCTGTCACATGTTTGTTCAAACCATTGTACTAAGCCTGAGTAGTT